TGGATTCCCTTTATTTTCAGTTCCTATCTGTACCAGTGTACATCCTCTGGTCTAGCCAGTCTTGCAAGTTAGAATTCGAGTCATGGTAGTGGGAGCGGGGAGGAAACCTTTAGGAACTAGAGGAAAGTTGTATTTTTCATCATTGTTACATCGCACCCTGACTGGCTCATCTCCTCCCCGGGACCCCTCTGCAAGGGGATCTCCAGTGGCCTACTAATGGGCTTTGGATCTCCACTCCGCACTCCCCCCATCATTCACTATGGTAAGATTTTTTGTTCTGATGATGCCTTACACCTGATCCCTTTGACACCTCGTGGTTGCATAGGCTGGGGGGCTTCTTCCATGTGGGTTTTGTTGCTTCTGAGCTTGATGGCCGCTTGATTACCTTCAAGCCTTTAAGACCCCAGACGCTATACTTTTTGATAGCCGGGCACCATCAGCTTTCTTCGCCACATTTGCTTATGCACCCATTTGTCTTCAGTGATCCGTTCGACACCCCGTGATCACACAGGTTGATATGTTGTTCCATGTGGGCTTTGTTGCTTCTGAGCTAGATGGCCGCTTGTTTACCTTCAAGCTTTTAAGACCCCAGATGCTTTATCTTTTGCTAGCCGGGCACCATCAGCTTTCTTCACCACATTTGCTTATTCACCCGCTTTGTCTTCAGCGGTTGTGTCGGGAAGGTGAGCATCATAGAATGCCAATTTACTAGAAGAAAGTATTCTTGTGTTGAGGGAGTACTTGAGTGGAGGCCCAATGTCCTTCCGCTACCTTAATACTAAACCTATAAATGTAGGCTCATAGATCTATTTCCCCATCCTCATATATTTGTATATGTACATGTCTTTATCTAGAGCTCTATAAATACCCTTTGCCTCCCAGCTCTTTCCTCTATTTCCCTTGATTCTCCTCCTGTCCCACTATCATGCTCAGTACCCACCAGGATTTCAGCACTTCCTCTTTGTTACATTCTCCTTGATCCTGCCCTACCAGGTCTCCCACACCCACCTCCCCACCAAGATTTGTTTCTTTAAGAAGAAAGCACACTGTCTAAAAGGGTAAAAGAAAAATGCAGATGTTATTGAGATGTAAAGATAACAGTCTTTGGATTTGTCTATACACATACACACATATGGCTCTGCCTTAATAAACCCTTTTTTTGTTTGGACTTTCAACTATAATCAGTTAATAAAGTATTTATTCTCTGCAAAAACAATAACTAGGTAGATGCTGAACAAGACTAAATGTTTGAGAAATATAAAAACCCACACATTTCTAATGATACCAATTAAAGGGAGAAAGAAGAAAGCAGAATGAAGATTAAGAATGAAGAGTGAAGGCTGTGAAGGTTCTGGTGCCAATCAATTTGAACAGGGCCATCTCATAGAAACATATAGGCTAGGGTGAGAAAACAGGCTTGGGTGCCAGCAATCTAGTGGCAGAGATTTTGCTCAGGGACAGAGTGCTTTTTTTCTTTCAAATGAAGAGGTCTGCTTGAGATCAGTTTAATTTGAAGTAATGATACAAGTGATTAAAAGTACAGAGTGAATCCTGCATCTGTAATCAATATTAGAGGTTCTGGAGCTCCCGGGGAAGCTGGGCTGAATTCACTCGTGTTCTATCTGATCCCCTGGTGCCCTGCAAGTTCCTGTGCTGTTGTTAGGTATCAGAGTCCGTTATGACCCACAGCAACCTCATCCACAACTAAACACGGCCCAGTCAGTCCTGCACCATCCTCAGTGTTCCTACGCTTGAGCTCATTGCTGCAGCCACTGTGTCAACCCATCTCTTTGAAGGCCTTCCTCTTTTTCGTCACCCCTCCTTTTTTCGCCACATGATGTCTTTCTCCAGGGACTGGTCTCTCCTGACTGCATGTCCAAAATTAGAAAGACAAAGCATTGCCATCCTTGCCTCTGGCCCTACTTCTTCCAAGACAGATCAGTTTATCCTTTTAGCAGTCAATGGTCCTTTCAATATTTTTCTCCATTATTCAAATGTATCAATAATTCTTTGGTCTTCCTTATTCAATGTCCAGCTGTATTCCTACAAATTCCAACTATCCATACAATTTCCTGTATCCATAGTTAAATAAGTCGGTGGTGTAGGGATTATATAATGTGTGTGTTGGGGTGGTGGTAAGTATTTATGTGTTAGTCTTTTCCTGCCATCTTAAAAATCAATGACCAAAACTGATGAAAAAAATAGAAAACCTGAACAAAACATAGCATTCATGATTCAGATGATTAAAATGAAGCTCAAAACTAATAGGAAGTATATAACAGTGGCCATTGCAACATTATTCACAGTAACTAAAAGGTGAGGAAAATCCCATGTTCATCAACAAATGAATGGATAAACAAAATGTGATATACCCATACAATGGAAAATCATTTATCATAAAGAAAAATGAAGTGATGATACATGCTACAACATGAATAACCTTGAAATCATTACACTAAAATAAGTCAGACACAAAAAGACAAATATTGTATGATCTCATGTTTATGAACTATCTGGAATAGGTAAATGCATAAATATCAAAGCTTACCATAGTGAATGATGGGGGCAGTGTGGAGTGGAGATCCAAAGCCCATCAGTAGGCCACTGGAGATCCCCTTGCAGAGGGGTCTCGGGGAGAAGGTGAGCCAGTCAGGGTGCGATGTAACAATGATGAGAAATACAACTTT